AAATAGCGGAAGAAGGGATACGCGATTACTTTTCCCTTCCGCGCAACTATAACCCATAAACATACCGTAATTTTGCAGGCTAATTCAGAAAAATGAACCGTAAAGAAGAAGTTCTGCAGGACGTGGTGATCAAGTTTGCCGGAGATTCGGGTGATGGGATGCAGCTTACAGGAAGTCAATTCACTAATAATACGGCCCTTATGGGCATCGATCTCGCTACTTTCCCGGATTTTCCGGCTGAAATACGTGCGCCCCAGGGTACTTTGCCTGGCGTAAGTGGTTACCAGCTCAGGTTTTCAAGCGATCGTGTGTACCCCCCCGGTGACGAATGTGACGTTCTCGTGGCTATGAACGCAGCGGCCCTGAAAGCCAATCTGAAAGCCCTCAAAAAAGGCGGTAAGATTATCGCCAATACAGATGGTTTTGATGCCAAGAACCTGAGATTAGCCAACTACCCGGAGGGAATTAACCCTCTCGAAGACGACAGCCTCACTAACTATGAGGTGATAAAAATGGATGTTACCAAGATGACCCGCGAGGCATTGAAGGATATCACCATGGGTGTAAAAGAAAAGGACCGCGCTAAAAATATGTTCGTCCTCGGTTTCCTGTACTGGATGTATAACCGCCAGATGGAAAATACCGACGAATTCATCCGTGAGAAATTTGGTAAGAAGCCCGATATCATGGAAAGCAATATCAAGGCGCTCCATGCCGGGTATAACTATGCCGATACTACAGAAACTTTTACTACCCGTTTCAAGGTAGAGAAAGCGAAAATGGAACCGGGAACCTATCGCTCCATTATGGGTAACCAGGCGCTCGCTTACGGATTAATCGCCGCTTCCCAAAAAAGCGGGTTGAGCCTTTTCCTGGGAACTTATCCTATTACCCCGGCCTCTGATATTCTTCATGAACTGAGTCGTTATAAATCTTTTGGTATAAGAACTTTCCAGGCAGAAGATGAAATTGCCGCAATTACTTCAACAATAGGCGCGAGTTATGGCGGTTCGTTAGGAGTTACCACAACTTCCGGCCCTGGTATGGCACTTAAAGCAGAAGCTATGGGACTCGCAGTAATGCTCGAGATTCCTTTAATTATAGTAAACGTTCAACGTGGCGGCCCTTCAACCGGCCTTCCAACGAAAACTGAACAAAGTGATTTGTTACAGGCATATTACGGAAGAAACGGCGAGTGCCCCATGCCGGTGATCTCTGCATCCACACCAAGTGATTGTTTCCATGCGGTATACGAAGCAGTAAGAATATCAGTGGAACACATGACGCCGGTGATCTTTTTAAGCGATGGATATATTGCCAATGGTGCCGAACCATGGAAGTTTCCGAAAAGCGATGATCTGCATCCTATAAAAGTGGAGTTCAAAACAGAATTAGGTCATCATGAAGAAAAATTCCAGCCTTATTTAAGAGATGAAAAACTGGTAAGACCATGGGCAATTCCAGGAACTCCCGGGTTAGAACACCGTATCGGTGGGTTGGAAAAACAGAATATTACAGGTAATGTGAACTATGAACCGGAAAATCACCAGTTGATGGTGAAGATCAGGCAGGAAAAAATTGATAAAATAGCTGATCATATTCCTTTGCAGAAGCTGGATAGCGGTCATGAAAAAGGAAAGATATTAATACTCGGATGGGGCAGCACTTATGGATCCATTAAAAGCGCCTGTGCAGAATTGCAGTCGGAGGGAATTGAAGTGAGTCATGCACATTTAAGATATTTAAGACCTTTCCCGAAAAACCTTGGTGATATATTAAGAAACTTCGAGCAGGTATTAATTCCTGAAATAAATAACGGGCAATTAATTAAAATCATCCGCGACCAGTTCCTGGTTGATGCGAAAGGATATAATAAAATTATGGGTATTCCTATTACCAGGAGTGAAATGATCATTAAGATAAGAGAGATGTTGGAATAACTGGGAACTCAACATATTATTCTTTGGTACCTAAGATAAATGCAAGGGCGAATGCTATAATAGCCGCAATTAACCCGAACATAAATATATTATAAGATACCCTAAGGAATCGATATTTACGTGCGAGTACAAGACCGAGGTAATACATGTCTTTAATCATACTGCCGTATAAATATTCTTTATCATTCATCATTTCTTTCATCGCCCAATCGTAATCCGATAATTGCATATTATAGAAGTTCCCAAAGAATAACAAGTTCACTTTTTTATTCTCGATATCCTCCCGTGCAAATGTTCCCCCGCTAATATTTGGCCGTGTAGCGAGTATCGCAAATATTACTGCCGCCAGGCAAACACTTACGAGAATAATTGTAGGAATAATAAACTCTGGATAAAACTGGAGTTTCCCTAATAGAACCGATACCATAATAGAAATTACTATAGTATTCACTGATATCATAATATTCGCTTTGCTATCGGCCATCTGGCTAAGGCTCACATGGCTCTCTGACATAATACGGAACATCGCCACAACTCCACGATCATTACGCGCCGGTTTGGTTTCTTCTTTGGGTAGCTTTTTTTCTTTACTAACCTCAACAGGCTCAGGAATTAATCCTTCTTTCTCTAATAATTCATTCAAATGTTTTTTCTTCATGGGATCGAGATTTTCACGTGCGTAATCAGTAAAATAACGATGCCTTCTTAAGAATTCAATATTTATTCTTCTCCAGTCCTTTTTTCCTATCTTCTCATTTTTAAGGCGATTAATTTCTTCACGCAATAATTTATTCTTCTCAAGAAATTCACTACTGCCTAAATGAAAAAGATCCGCATCACAAAGTATCTGTTCAATAGTATTCGTAGGCGACTGCGGCATTCTTGTAGCAATTATGCAGTTACTCACTTTGGCAATAATTTCTTCACTAACATTATGGTCCTGTAAAAATTCTGTTGCTATGCGCTGACTTTCCGTTTCATGATATTTTGCCACACCGGAAGAATAACCTGTATCATGGAACCATGCCGCCAGCGTCAGTGCAAGCCTGTCATCTTCACTTAAATCATAAGTGCCTGCGATCAGTTCGCTATGTAAAACCACTTCGGTAGTGTGTTCGTAAGAATGGAATATAAAATCCTTTGATACTTTACCCGAAAAAATATCCGAAACATATTTGGAGGCCGCAGAAAGCAGGGAGTTATTGATTTCCAACATTGCTGGTATGATTGTTACACAATCTACATTAGATTGCAGATTCAAATATATTATATTCCATGCCATCATACCCTATACCGGTCCTTTCTTTTGTGGTTGTTTTGATGGGGTGTTCCACCTTTTCGGGAAGGTCGTTTGTGCCTGATATTCCTGAGTATAAAGACAGCCAGAGAAAGGTTTATGTATTAAAGAAAAGGCTGCTGGAAATATCCGGCCTGGTGTACCTGGGAAACGATAGTGTGGCAGCAATAAATGATGAAAAAGGCGAACTTTTCCTGGTTGATCTGAATACCAATTCCAGTGAAAAATACAAGTTTGGTGAAAAGGATGATTACGAAGAACTGGTAAAAGTTGGTGACACCTATTATGTGCTGAACAGTACAGGGGATATTGTTGAAGTAAGTTCTCTTCCCAATACACAGGGAACGCGCTATAAGTTTCCTGAAAATGAGATGAAGATTGAATTTGAATCGTTGGTATATTATAAAAACATAAACAAGCTCATATTGATTTCCAAGGATCAGCGCAGCAGGGCAGCCGATATTTCTGCTTATTCTTTTGACCTGGGAACCAAACAATTCGATACCGCGATTTTTTTCAATATTCCAAAACGGACCATTTTTCAAAAGCTGCAGAGCTATTCCAACGATTGTAAACCATCGGCGGCAGCGATCAGCCCTGTTACTGGTAAATTATATATTGTTGCCTCTGTGGGAAGGTTGCTTTTGATCTGCACCCCTGATGGAAAACTCGAAAAATTATATAAGCTGAACCCTGCACAATTCCCCCAGCCAGAGGGTATAACTTTTGCAGATAATGGCGATATGTTTATTTCGAATGAGGGCCTCGATGGTAAAGCTACAATCCTGAAATTTCCCTATAGTGGCAGGAAGTAAAGCATACATATTTTTATTGTTCGTATCCGTTTTTTCAGGATTGATTGTGTGTGCCCAAAAGGACACCATTACTCAGCGCATTATTCTAATCGGCGATGCCGGCGAGCAAAAAAACGGTGTGCACCCTGAAATAGAAATGATCAAAAAGAATTTTAAGCTGGATAAAAAAACAACAGTAATTTATTTAGGAGATAATGTTTACCCGCAGGGGCTCCCACCACGCACTGCTCATAATTACGCAGAAAAAAAACAAATACTCGACAGCCAGGTAAATATCGCAGCAGGTACAGACGCAAAAGTATATTTTATTGCAGGCAACCACGACTGGATGCAGGGCAGACAGAACGGTTACCGGCAGGTACTTAACCAGTACAGATATATTACAGGATTACAAAATCCTAATGTTAAATATGTGCCTTCAGATGTTTGTCCCGGACCTGAAGAAATAGCTATTTCAGATAAAATAACATTAGTCGTAATCGACAGCCAGTGGTGGCTGCATAAAGTCGATAAGCCCGGTGTTGGTTCTGGTTGTGATGCCAATACAGAAGCAGAGTTGTTAAGTGTGTTACAGGAAATCGTGGACCGTAATGAAGATAAATTATTACTCTTCGCTGCACATCATCCATTTGTAACGTTTGGCAGACATGGAGGATATTATAATTTAAAACAACATATTTTTCCTTTCACTGAGCTCAATCCTAAACTATATATTCCTCTACCGGTATTGGGTTCTATTTATCCCATTGCACGTGGAGTATTTGGAAATATCCAGGATACAAAACATCCTGTTTATAAAAATTTCAGCAGGGCAGTAGACAGTATTTTAAGTCGTCATCCTTATTGTATAAGAGTAGCAGGGCATGAACATAATCTACAATTCATTGAACAAAACGATCATTATTATATTGTGAGCGGTGCGGGTTCTAAAGAATCTGACATTACCAGCGATGACGATCTGTTGTTTTCATCAATTAAAACCGGCTTTGCAACGATCGATATGGTTAACAACGGTAATGTGTATGTAAAGTTTTATTCTTCTGAAAATGATACAGTGGATAAACCTCTTTATGTAAAATCCCTGGGGCCAATTGATTCTAGCCATATAAAAAAGACAAGTTATAAAGTTCCTGTTCTTCCCGATTCAGTAGTTGTAGTTCCTGCTAAATATTACCAGGCACGTAAATTTAAAAAATGGTTACTGGGTAATAATTATCGAGATGAATGGACAACGCCGGTTAAAGTAAAAGTGCTTGATTTAGGAAAAGAAAAAGGAAGTACACTTCAATAAAGCGTAACATATATTGAGAAACCATTTGATATAGAGAAGACGAATAGAACTGTTTTTTTAATATTCAATCTAATTTGTATCATATACAATTTTCATATCTCTTAAATATGTTTCTCTAACATCTTTGTCATTAAAATCAAATCAATATTAAACGAGAAATTTCAATGCATATCTGTTTGTGAGATCAACTATCGAAATTAAATAAATATGAAAGAATCAAAATTTCTCTATTATGACGATAGAAATAGAATTTCATCTGAAAAGAATATATTCTTCAATTTCTAAACGAATTAAATTGATTGGATAAGTTACATCGAATCGTATGAGTGCAAATAAATGAACATTACAATTGAAACAAAGATCATAGTTATGAATTGATGTGTTTATCTCATAAACAGTGTGTTATGAGAAATCAAGTGATGATTCAATTGTTTAGAACATCTCAATATAATTTAATAAATAAGATTTATTTTTGAAATCTTCGTTTATTTCTCAATGAGAAAAGAAGAGAAAGATCTGTTCATGATAATAATTTCTTTTTTTTTCACATGTCATTGAAGTGAAAAGATCGATAAGTATGAATAGATCATTAAGATTCGTTTTCTTTTAGTGAAAATCTCTTTAATTAAAAATGAAAGTTTCATATTGAAGAAAAATATTATTATTTCTTTATGTATATTGTTCTTTTTACTTTTATCTTATGAAATTAAAAAGATTCAAATCTATGAGATGAATCTTTGTTTTTAAAGATTAATAATCTTGAGTTTTTCAATTTGATATTTCTGTCTATGATGAATTTGAAAATATCTTTCAAGAGAAGAACAATTGTTCTTTCTCTTTTCAGAATTAAATTGTAGTTAAAATTGTATGAAAAATTTGTGATGCTTGCGACATACTCGCAAAATATCTACTTGGATCTCTAAAATCTGCTTCTCGAGTGAGTGATGTCCAAAAATCTCCTCCATAATAAATAAATTGCGATAGATTAAACATAATCGACATTATATATGGAAAAAGTCTTATTCCAAATGAAATGACAAATCGTGGATTATGACGAAGTTTCTTCATTTGTCGTTTTATCCAATTGAGTTGTTCACTTTTGAAATCAAAAACTCTTCCTGTGATAGCTGTGTAATAATGAAGAAAAAGAGTTACAACGGTCACAACATAGGCATAAGCCATAGAGATAAATGCNAAAAGTCTTATTCCAAATGAAATGACAAATCGTGGATTATGACGAAGTTTCTTCATTTGTCGTTTTATCCAATTGAGTTGTTCACTTTTGAAATCAAAAACTCTTCCTGTGATAGCTGTGTAATAATGAAGAAAAAGAGTTACAACTGTCACAACATATGCATAAGCCATAGAGATAAATGCATAAATAACAAGCATTGGAATTACATTTGTAAACAAATATGGAAGAATGATTCCACCAGGAAATATAAATGTAATGATCGATATCACGAAAGCAATCCAAAATATTACTTTAGATAAAATTCTTCGCCATGGTTTTTTTCTACTTTGAATGAAATTGTATGCATCTTTATTTCGACGATAGAAATATAGTTTTGAAAGAAAACAATAAGCAAAATCTGTATAGGAATCGAAAATATAATTGTAAATTCGATAACCAAAAAGATTATAACAATTCCATGTTGATGAATATGCAGCTGAACTACAATCTGTATGAATAATAATATACCAAATTGTATGAGCAAATAAAGGTATACAACTGAAAATAATATCATATAGATCAAATGTCATTTGTTTCGCTTCTTTTCGAAGTTTTACACGAAGAACCTGTTTCGGTGTTTTCTTTTTCCTCGAAAAAAGGCCTTTAAATGGTACAAGAATATAAACTGAGATTTCCGAAAGCAATGGTTGATCAATCTCAATATCACTCGTAATTGTGATTGTTTTCCTATCAACAAGTTCAAATTCAATCAATTCACCTGGTAAATACCATGTACCATAAACTAATCGATCCCAACAACGTAAGGTTAAATCAAAGAATAAAAATTGTAATGGAAAGAGAAAATATGGTTGAATTACTGTATTATCATCACGAAGTGTATAAAGTAAAGGATTTGCATCACGATAAAAATATGGAATTGAAGTTGACGCAGTTGTCATTGCAAATGTGTTTGACAATATGATATCAAACGTTTATATATACTTCATAGAGATATCGAGGTCATTTATCAATGATGAGAGAAAGAAAGATCTATTCAAATTGATATTTTAATGATAAAATTGATTCTATCGAATGTTGGATGTCATTACGAATGATTTTTGAGAAAATTAGTAACGGTCATGATCAACAACGATCAATAATGATTGACAAATATCCTTCATACGAATTGACAACTATTCTTTGAATTAATATGCAAATTAGAAACGTTTCTTGACGTAAGAATATACTAAAATGTCATGTTTAACCAAAAAAGACCATCAGAATTTATGACTAAATACAATATCACTGATATTTAATTAACAAACAAAGTACACGTATCGTCATCTTCAATGTCTTTTCATCATCAAAATCTTTTCATATTCCTTTTATTTGATAGAAAAGAACAGATGAACTAAGATATTAAAG